AAGCCTGGCACCCACTGACGGCCTGCTGCGTCCCTGCCGCATGCCTACCGCCCTCGGCGCCGCGCCTCACCCGTGCCGCCGTACTGCAGGCCTTGTGTGATGGTGGTCATCTCGTTGATGCTCTCCATCACGTCGATCTGATCCAGGGCAGCAGGGCAGGCGCTGAGAGGGGCAGGGCTTACTGGCGCCAGGACCAGTGAGGAGGGAGCCGTGCAGGCTGCGGCCGCGGGGCAGCCACAGCCCGCGCCAGGCAGCATGCTCGGCGGGCGCCAGCCCCGGCAGGCAGGCTTGGCTCCCGCCAGCTGCTGCACCCGCCAGCTGCTGCACCCCGCCAGCCCCCCAGCCCGCACCTCTCCACTGGCCGCCCACTCCCCGTACGTGGGCTCTGTGGGGAACATCCAAAAGGCGGGCCAGAGGCCCTGGCCGGGCGTCGGCAGCTGCATGCGCGCCTCCACATGCAGGGAGGCAAAGGTGGTGCCGTCCTCCAGCTGCATGCCGGGGTAGAAGCCGGCGTGGGCCTTGGTGTTGATGCGGCCAGAGGTGAAGGCGTCGCCGTCCTGCAGGGCAGGGCAGGGCAGGAGGGTCGGTGTCCACATATGTGTGTGTGTGTGTGTAATGGGGTGGGGCCGCTGGGACAGGGCGCCAGCAGCAGGGAGCAAGGGGAGGCGCCCTGCCATCCTGGCTGAGGCAGCCAGGTGTGTCCTCCTGCAGGTCGGCTGGCTTCCCCGCATGATCCCCGCCCTGCTCAGCACACCGCATGCAGGCGCAAGCACGCAGCCCACCCGGAGCGCGGTGATGTACAGGTTGCCATCAGCCACCCACACATTGTCAGGGCTGTCAGTATAAGTCTGCGGCAGCGGCAGCAGAGCAGCACACCGAGCTCAGCAGGCGACAGGGGAAACAGCGAGCGGCAGCAGGCGGGGCCGCAACAGCTCCGGTCCCCTTCCCGCTCCCTCCGCCACGCCGCACCTCCACTTCGTTGTTGCCCCACCCCCACACCCCGTTGCCCAGGTCGTAGCTCCACTTGTCTGTGTCCAAGGTATCACCATCAAACTCATCCCACCTGCAGGCCACACCACACACAGCAGGTGGGGCACGGCGCGGCCAGGAGCTGGGCGCCAGGTGAGCGGCAGCGTGGGGCAGGTGCAGATAGCGCGGCAGCCGACCGGCACACGCACCAGATAGCCTGGCTGCCGGGGGGCACGTCGAAGGGTGCCGGGCTGGGGGGCACGGGCAGAGGGCCTGGGTGGCAGCACGGGCACGGGCATGGGCATGGGCTGAAGAGGGTGTGTTGAGGCGTCATAGCCAAGTCCAGCCCGCGGCGAAGCGCACACCCTGTGAATGTCGGCTGCCCGCAGAGAGGCAAGGAGACCTGCCCTCCACATCAAGAAGGCTGCCCACCGCATGTGTGGCCCCACCTGTGTTGCCGCCGCCGCCGCTGTTGCTGCCGCTGCCGCCCTCGGGGTCCAACGGCGGCGGGGGTGGCGGCGGGGGACCCGGCGGCGCATTGTCGTTGCGATTGTTTTGCACAATGACCATGATGACGGAGAGGCCCACTCCCGCTGCCACCTGCAGGGGTTGCGGTCGGTAGAGGCTAGCGTCGGCAGCGTGGGCCTATTAAATCTAGCCCAACAGGCGGCAACACGCAGACAAGTCTAGCATTCTATGCTTCCGCTGCCCTCATCTCGCAGAGACCACCAATAAACACCCGCAAAGCGAGGGCGGCACCTCACCAGCGCCGCCACCGTCAGCAACCAGATGGCAAACTTGAAGCGCACGCAGCAGGTGGGCCCCTTGTGCACGCCGTGGGACAGCGTTTCCACATCCTCAGACCAGGTCTTGAAGGTGGGCCCGCCGCGCGCATCCACACTGTACGCCTGCGCTGTGTGTGTCGCTGCCATGCTGCCGATGCTGCTTGTGGCCCTTTGACGGGCGCGTGTGTCTATGCCTGAAGGCGTGGCGGCGGGAGTGTGAAGCAAGCGTTGGATGCAGGGAGTGGGCGCGGGCGGCAGGCGGGTGGTTGCCGCCGCCCTAGCAGCCCAGGAAACAGCGGCGCGCTCCGGCACTCTGCGGTCCCAGTGCAGCAGATTCACAGCGCCACAGGGCTGTTTGCGTGCCCTGGAGAGATGGAGCGCCTGGGCGGGAGTTGCAGTTCGCGAGCAGGAGGGCTGGTCAGTGTTGCAAAAGCTTGCAACAGCTTACCGGAGTGTCCTGCGCGATACAGCTCCGTCAGCTGGGCCGCGGTGGCTTCCCAAAGGACGTGAAGCGGCGGATGTGCGGGCCTGCGCCCTGCTTGCAAACCTCCCCGAGCCTACTTTGATGGATATATCAGTGCAGGGGCCCTACCAGAGCCTAGGATCTGGGCACGCCAGGTAGACCGCCGCCAGGCGGGCGGGGTTCTGCCCATCTCCTCCAGCCCCATTGATAATTTCCTTGCTTGCATGGCCTGTTGGCGTGCATGTGGTCACATATCGAATGCAAGGAATGTGCTGAATGTGTGAATGCAAGAAATGTGTGTGTGAGAATGGGCGGCGCGGCGGGGCTCTCCCCCTCGAGGAGAGAAACATTGCTGGTTGGCAATTCACACCCTCACTTATTGGGGAACCACGGCCATGCATGGAAAAAACAGAATAAATCAAAGGAGGGTGCAGTCGGGTGAGCGATGCATGTGGGTGAAAACATGGGGTGAAATCATGGGGTGAAAAACATGGGGCCTGCAGGATGAGAGGCGCTTGTGCCTGGTGAGAGGTGTTGCAACAGGGGCATGCCCCACGACAGTTAGGGAACCGACGACGACACAGGCGCCTTGCGCCCCCGCCGCTGCCCGGAGCCGGCCGGCGCCCGCCGCCGCGGCTGCACATGCGACCCCTCTGTCAGCAGCAGCAGCACCGACTCGCGCAGCCGCTCGCGGATGCCCGCCGAATCCGTGCTGCGCCTGCTGCCGCGGCGGCTGGGCTGCCGGTCCTTGGCCGAGGCGCCAACGCCCAGGCCTCCATCCGCCAGCCCCTCCCCCAGCTCCCCGCCCGCCCCGGGCAGCAGCGGCGCCAGCAGCGGGTTGCCGGCCTCCTCGCCGTCTGCGCCCTCCACCTCCAGGCGCGTGGCCGTCTGCGCCAGCATGGCGACCGCCTTGTCCGACTGCTTCTGGTAGTCGAATAGGGCTGTCATGGTCAGCATGATGCCGCCCTGCAGGGGAGGAAGTGTGCGGCTGTGAGCGGGGGGAGCGTGGAGGTTGGGCGCGTGCTGCGTGTGTGCTGGTGTGAAGGCGGAGGTGGAGGTGGAGGTGGTGGGCTCAGGGGTGCGGCAGGCGCAGGCAGGCGGGCGTGCCTGCATTGTGTTGATGACCACCAGGCCCCACCTCAGGCCGTCAAGGCCCATGTTCCTGCAGGAGGGGTAGAAAGAAAGGGGCAGCCGATACGTTTGGCAGCCCAGCGCCGCCAGCTGCAAGCAGGCCAGATCAGCATGCCGCCCCGTGCGGGCTGTCGCCTCCCAGTGCCAGCGGGCCACCTTGCCATGCCCCACATGCGGTGCCCGCCGTCGCGCGCCCACCCCGCCCACCTCTTGAACGCGAGGTAGGCGGCCAGCGGGATGCCGCAGCACCAGTAGGAGAGCAGGTTGGTGATCGCCCCCGTCTCCTGCTTGCCCGCGCCGCGCAGCAGCCCCTGCAGCACCGCGTTGGTGCCGTCGCCAAACAGGCTGCAGGCGGGCGGGGGGCAGGCGGAGGGATGCAGGCGGTGTGTGAGAGGAAGAGAGCGTGTGCTCTGCGGAAGGTGCCATGGCGGGCGCGGCAGGGCAGCTTGAGTGGAGGATGGACGAGAGCGTTAGTGCGAGGCCGCGCCGCGGCGCCCCACCTCAGCGCAAACAGCGGCAGCAGGTGCGCGGTCCTGGAGATGACGGCGGGCGAGTCGGTGAACAGGCGGGGCCAGTCGTGGCGGATGAGCACGATTCCCACGCCCACGCAGGCCTGGAGGCACATGGTGAGGGCCCAGGCGGTCCAGGTGGCGCGCCGCGCCGCCTCGGGCAGGCGCGCCCCCAGCGAGTTGCTGACCCGCACCGACGCCGCGCAGGCCAGGCCGGTGACAATCATGTAGCACAGGCCTGCAGTGGGGAGCAGGGGCAGGAGCAGTGGGGCCGATGCCTGAAGCAGGAGCCAGCCCAGGCGCCTGCTGCCGGCGCGGCAGCGGCTGGCTGGCACGAATGTATAGCTTATAGCCCTCTGGCTACCCGCTCTTTGAGGGCCCCAGGCCAGGCCCCCGCACCCCGCACCCGAGGTCTGGATGCACAGCCCCATCACCGACACCGACACCTTTGGGTCTGGCAGCAGCCCGCTCATCAGCACCATCACCTGCAGCGGCGGCACAGACGCGCGGCATGGACGGCACGCTGAATCAGATGGAGGGTAACGGAGAAGGAGGAGAAGAGGGATGTGGCGGCGACGTGTTGTGGCAGCGGCGGCGGCAGCCGTTCGTGTGCGGTGCTCACTAACTGCCGCACCGTGGGATCTGCTGAACGCCCCAGCGGGAACTGGGAGACAACAAACAAACCGCCCCCCGCCTTCGCCGCTCACCTCGAAGGTAGACCACTCGCAGCACAGCATGGCCACGCTGGGCAGGGCGAAGCGGCAGTACTGGCCCCACCCGCTCCACGCCTTCCTGCTGAGGCCGTGCCAGGTAGACACGGGGCTGCCGGCCAGCAGGCGGTCGCGCGCCACGCAGTACGCGCCCAGCAGCGTGGCCAGGGTTGCCTGGAGGCAGGCAGGCAGGGGGGGTGGGGTGAAGGCGTGTGTGTGTGTGTGTGGAGCAGGGCAGGGCATGCAGGGACGCCTGGCAGACGTCAGGCGAGCCCGGAAGGCCCGCGCCCCCAAAAGCGGCCGCCCGGCCGCCTCCTGCCCTGGCTCCCGCCTCGCCTGCATGGCGTCCATGGCGTACGCCGCGCCGTACAGGCCCAGCCCCATCCTGTAGATGAGCAGCCAGTTGTAGAGGGGCGCCAGGGAGAGGGAGATGACAGTGACGACGGTGGCAGGGCGCACCGCCTCCTGCACAGCGGTACGGCACAGCGGTACAGCACGCGCGGCTCAACACGCGCCGCGGCAGGGCGTGGGTGGGGCCGCCTCCTGCGCAGCGCCCGGGCAGAGGCCCCGCAGCCGGCCGGGCGCCGCACTGCCGGCAGCAGCGGCATGCAAGGCAAGGCATGCGGGCCAAGTAGGGCGGCCGTGAGGGGTGCGGCGCGCCTGGGCCATGAGGTAGCGCTTCAGCGCCTCAAACACGCCGGTGAACCAGAGGGCGGGGATGGCCCTGCGCAGGGTAGGGCAGCCGGCAGGCCAGCACAGCGGAGTCGGAAACCGTGCGCTGCCAACCGGCTGCCGGTCTCTTCCAGCTGTTGCCTGGGCTGCGCAGCCAACGGCAGCGCACCCGGCACGCGGGCAGGCCAGGCATAGTGTGAGCGGGCAGGCCCAGCCCTCGCAGCCGGGCGCCCGCTCCTGGCCCCCACCTGAGCAGGAACTGGGCGGTACCGTGCGCAATCTCTGGGTCCTGGCCCAGCAGCAGCAGGATGGGCTCCGCCTGCGTCCACACCACCGCCACCAGCGCCGCCACCAGCGTGAGCAGCAGCAGCGCGCGCTGTAGCACCAGGCCCACCAGGTGGTACCGCCCCGCGCCGTAGGCTTGCCTGCACAGCACATGCGCGCGCGCGTGCGTGTGGGTGTGTGTGTTGGTGGGCAGGGGACCGTGGCATGCCGGCATGCCGACCGCATGCTTGCCACCGGATGGTCCATCGGTGGCGCAACCACCGGCCGCAGGAATGCCACACCGCCGTCCCAGCGCGTCCCCTGTGCGGCTGCCGCTGAGGTTGGGCCGGGCCGGCAGGGGGCGCCTCACCCGCAGAATGTCTCCATGGCGGAACTGAAGCCGATGAGCACCGAGAGGCCGGTGACGTTGAACACCGAGGTGGCCAGCACCACCACCGACAGCGGCTCCTCCCCCAGGTGGCCCGTGGCGGCGATGACGACCATGGAGATGGCGTACCCGGCCAGGTTGGAGATGGACAGCGGGGCCGCC